TCTCCCCCTCCTTCTCCACCACTTTCACCCCTCCTCTACCTTCTCCGTCTTCTCTCACCATCCTCTACCTTCTCCCTCTCCTCTACCTCCTCCACCTTCTCCCACCATCCTCGACCTCCTCCCTCTTCTACCTTCTCTCCCTCCACTACCTCCTCTCCCCTATCTCCCAACTCCCCCTTCCCTTCACCACATTCTCCCACTCTACCTCCTCCCTCCTCTACCTCCTCCCCCTCCTCCTCGACCACCTTCTACCCTCCTCCTCGACCTCCTTCCTGTACCTCTTTTCTATCTCCTTCCTGCCCCCTATTCTACCTCCTCCCCTTCTCCCCCTCCTCCTCCTCCTCTACCTTTTCCCTCGTCCTCTACCTCTTCTACCTCCACCCCTTCTCCCCTCCTCATATACCTCGTCCCTCTGAAACTGTGAAACTCTCGTGACTCTGAATCGCATTATTCGATCCGTGAATCGAATCATTCAATCCGTATCGAATAATTCGATCCGTGAATCGAATAATTCGATCCGTGAATGTTATATGTGATAAAAATCAACCATAAAACAAAAAATCGAATTATGAAACAAAATACATGCCATATGTGTGTGTATGCGCGCGTTCGTGTGTGTGTGTGTGCATGTGTGTGTGTGTGTGTGCGCGCGCGCATGTCTGAGCCCGTGTGCGTGCGTCTGTGTTTGTGTTGCCTGCGTGTATGAGTGAGTGTGTGCGTTCCTGCGTGGGTGCGAGTGTTCCAGCGTTCGCGTGTGTCTTCGTATTGCGTGCGAGTGTGTATGCATGAACATCCGTGTGTGTGCGTACGATTGTGTGCATCGTTGCGTGTGCCGATGAGCATGACAGGTCTATGCTGTTTTCTGACAGATGGCTATTATGCTTGTTTGGTTTGCTCCTTCTCTAGGCATATACGGCTTACATTCGGGGACTTCCTATCAATGATACACCGGAGATATTTGGTCTACATGAGAATGCCAACATCACCTTTGCGCAGAATGAGACTTTTGCTCTCCTAAACGGGCTGCTGTTGCTACAACCAAAGTCTTCCTCAGGAGGGGGGCAATCTAGAGAGGAGGTATGTTTGTGGTACAAGAGAATTGCGAAGACGGGGAGGTTTTTTTGTAGTAGTAGATGGCCGTCTAGGAAAATGGTATGCATGTAATTTATAGTAGAAGAGACTAGTTCGGAGTGAAGATAGGGTAGGTGTGGTTGTAATAGACGTAGCGGTATAAAGAGGAGGTGGGTATTATTGTTGTAGGAGGTAGGAGTATTGGAAATATGTTTGTAGCGTAATTCTATATGCTCGATTGTTATAGAAAAGAGGGAAAAGAATTAAAAAGAAATAAATAAGGGGAAAAAATTTGTTTAGTAAAAAATAAGCTTTAAATAGTATGGTAATTGTAGAAGAGGCAGTATAGAAAGTATCTTTATAGTAAAAAGTTGCAGTCTAGAAAATATGTATGTTTGTAGTAGTAAAAACTGGTGTCGTTTAGCAGCTAGGCACGCAGTAAGAATTCTGTGCATTTGGTGGTTGCTTTATTTGTCATGTACTTGTTTAATAATAAGGTGATGGAGGAGACAGCAAAAAGCATACTGGAGCGCGTTCCACCGCCCGTCGATGAGGCTATGGTAATGGAGAAACATCCTGTAATGTACACTGAATCGATGAACACAGTCCTTATACAGGAGGTTGGCAGGTAACACAACGTGCACGCAGTGATTTCCATATAATACATAATAGCATAGAAATGCTTGTCCAAGCAAATCGATGCATCTATCTTTAGTAGTTATCTTCCGCCTAGCTCATATTCCTCTTTTATTGATGTTTTCGTGATTTTTTTTAAGTGTTGTAGATGGCGCCACGTTACGGATATGATCTAAATTATATTTTGATATCTTGATGAATTATATATTGATTTACAATACCATCGCTGAGATCAGGATCTCTAAATCTGGCATACAGGTTTAATCAGCTGCTGCGAGTCATACACCAGAGCCTGCAGGATCTACTGAAAGCTCTAAAGGGGCTGGTGGTAATGTCGCAGGCACTAGAAGAGATGGCAAACAGTCTCTTCATTAACTCAGTGCCAGCTATGTGGGCGGCTAAGGTAGACACAAACACCACGTTGTTTCTGTATTACCATCGCTAAGGTGCAAATTAACTGTCCAATGACAATCAATAAGGAATTGAATCAATTAGGAGAATCAATACCAGAGGGATCAATATGCAAAATACAACTGTGGTATTGAGGTTAAACATCTAACAGTGAACCATATTTCCGTATTTATATTTTTATAGTTCAGAAGTGATTAATGTACTCTATGTAACGAATGTGGAGGTAATTCAAATGGCTGTTGTCTGAAACGAGAAAATATTAAGAATGTGAAATTAAACATGCAAAACGAATGAATCATATTGCTGCATATCTACACATTATATTGAATGACCCGTGCATGGTATCCCAAAGTAAGCTAAGTAACATTCACTGATGAATTAACATCATTTCCCTACACTACAGTTTTATGTCCAGTTTTCATGGCGTCCCTCCTCCGACACCCTGCTTATATATTGCAGGCTTATCCATCGTTGAAGCCGCTTGCATCTTGGGTGACAGACCTCGTTGCCCGCATGCACTTCATGCAGGACTGGATTGACAACGGCACTCCGAACATCTTCTGGATTTCCGGATTCTTCTTCCCACAGGCTTTCCTGACGGGCACGTTGCAGAACTTTGCCCGCAGGAATATGGTCGCGATTGACACAATATCGTTTGGTTTCGAGGTAAGACGCTCTATGTGTGCGTGCGTGCGTGCGCGTGCATGCCTGTGTGTGTGTGTGTGTGTGTGTGCGTCCATGCGTGCATTGCAATAAACATCATCGCACCTCTCATCCTCCACGCTGAAGCCTGCCTAACATTATAGACAATCCACGTGACCACCACAACTCTATAACCACGTCTCACAGGTGCTGCAGCAGCCTCTGCATCTCATCGAGTCGGCGCCAGTCAACGGATGCTACGTGCACGGCCTCTTCATAGAGGGCGCCAAGTGGGACTCGGATCGCGGCATGCTCGCAGAGGCGCGGCCCAAGGAGCTGTACACGGACATGCCCCTGCTGTGGTTCTACCCGGAGGTGAATCGCACGCAGCCGTCGACCGGCTTCTATCTGTGTCCGCTCTACAAGACGCTGCAGAGAGCCGGTGAGTACGTTGTGGCCCTCTCTCTCTCTCTCTCTCTCCCGCTCTCTCTCTCTCTCTCTCTCTCTCTCTCGCTCTCCCGCTCTCTCTCTCTCTCTCTCTCTCTCTCTTTCTCTCTCTC